TTTTTAGATTTGACTACATGTTAAAATGAGAACTCGTCCACTGTACATGTATGCCTCCACCCCAGAAGATGACCAAACCCACTTCATTTTGTTTTAATGCAACTATTAATAATTTGTTTAAAATGAATAATCCATAACAAATGCTAAATTACACCAAGGCATCAGGACAATATGCAAGACCAGGACTTCCCACAGTAAGCTGGGCTGTATGACCACACTGTTCACCTAGTTGTTTTGGGGATTAAATCAATTACTGTATGGAAAGTGCCTAAAACAATGCCCGGTATATAGTAAGCCTTCAATCAATGTTAGCACTTATTACGATTACCATGGTTCAGACTTAAAAAACTTAAAATACTGCCTTAGAGAAAAAGACGCCATTTTCTAAGGGACACATAATTGGAAATGTCTCCTAATCTTTTTTTTTTCCTCCAAAATTTAATTGTCAATGAAAATAATAGCCTTGACAGCAAAGGTCCAAACATGATTTGTTTTGTTCCCCACCTCCTTCTCACGTCTTAAATTTGTTAATTAAGCTTTGTTTTTTGAATGGCCATTTTGAGATGCATAGTCAAACTCCAGAATATCTCCATGCAAAACATCTAAACTTGGATTTCTCAGTTTTTTTAAGACAAAGCAGTGACTACCAATGCCAACTGGCATCTCTAAGGAGTCTCCCCTTAATGCCCGCCACTGTCAGCCTCTCAGGTGTCCTTCTTGCTCCTCTCTGCAGTGCCCAAACTATCTTGCTTTCTTCCTTATTTAACCCCAGCTCCTCTGGAGCCTCTGAAGTTGACTTCATTCGACTTCATCACTGGTCTCCTTTATCACTGCTGTCATCTGCCAGCCTCCAGCCCTTAGGAGTTGATGACTTTAGGAACTCTTTCATTATCAGCTCAATACCCATGAATGCCATCTTTCATGGAGGGTCTTCAATAACCAAATGGATAACTGGCCCCATCCTTGGCCTTTCAATTTGTGGACTGCCTTGCTGTCAATTTTTCCTCTGCTGGACCTTAGCCAAATATTTATGTTCATACCCTTATCCTTGTCTTTACTTCCTGTGAAATCTTGATTTTTGAACTTTCCTTTTCCCTGCTCACCACTGCTTTGTGTCCTTCCAGCACAGTTATTTTAATATTCTTATTTCAGCATTTCATTGACCTCAGTGAAATGGCTGATCCATTAGTAGCCAGTGTCTCCTTCATGTTCTCACTTTACTTACTTTAGAGTCCCTGGTTCATCACTACTGGTCCCTTGCAAGCACCCTTAACTCCCCTGCTCTCCCTCCCACTTTCCCTTCCTCTCCTCCAACTCCTCCATTGCCCTTTTTAAAGCTACAGTGTTTTATTAGTTTTAAGTGTACAATATAGTAATTCAATTCCATATATCACCTGGTGCTCATCATGACAAGTGTATTCCTTAATCCCCATCACCTATTTCACCCATCCCCCCACCCACCTCCCCTCTGGAAACCATCAGTTTGTTCTCTGTAATTGAGTCTGTTTCCTGCTTGGTCTATCTCTGTTTTTCCTTTGCTTGTTTGTTGTTTCTTAACTTTCTTATATGAGTGAAATCATACGGTATTTGTCTTTCTCTGACTTATTTCACTTAGCATAATACTCTGTAGCTCCAGCCATGTTGTTGCAAATGGCAAGATTTCGTTATTTTTTTGGATGAATAATATTCCATTATACACACACAGACACACATACATACATACATACATACATACATACTACCTTTTTTTAATCCATTCATCAATAATGGACACTTGGGCTGCTTCCATATCTTGGCTATTGTAAATCATGCTGCTATAAACATCAGGGTGCATGTATCCCTTTGAATTAGTGTTTTTGTATTCTTTGGGTAAATAGTGCAATTGCTGGACAGTAGGGTAGTTCTATCTTTAACTTTTTGGGGAACCTCCATACTGTTTTTCACAGTGGCTGTACCCGTTTACAGTCCCACCAACAGTGCTCAAGTGTTCCTTTTTCTCCACATCCTTGCCAACACTTGTTTGTTTCTTGTGTTGCTGAATACCTATTCTTTTCAAACTATTCCAAAAAATAGAAAGGGAAGGAAAGTTTCCAAATTCATTCTGAGGCCAGTATTACCTGGATACCAAAACCAGATAATGACACCACTAAAAAAAGAGAACTATAGGCCAATATCCCTGATGAACATAGATGTAGAAATCTTCAACAAAATACTAGCAAACCGAATTCAACAATACATTAAAAAAATCATCCACCATGATCAAGTGGGATTTAATTTTGGGTTGCAAGAGTGGTTCAATATTTGCAAATCAATCAATGTTATACATCAATAAGAGAAAGGATAAGAACCATATGATCATTTCAATAGATGGAGAAAAAGCATTTGACAAGGCACATCTATTCATGATAAAAACCCCCAACAAAGTATGTTTAGAGGGAACATACCTCAACCTAATATAGGCCATCTATGAAAACCCACAGCTGACATCATCCTCAATGTGGAAAAACTAAGAGCTTTTCCCCTAAGGTCAAGAACAAGACAAGGATGCCCACTCTCACCACTTTTATTCAGCACAGTACTAGACATCCTAGCCACAGCAATCAGACAACAAAAAGAAAGAAAAGGCATCCAAATCGGTAAGGAAGAAGTAAAAAGCAAAACCATCACTATTTGCAGATGACATGATACTATACATAGAAAACCCGAAAGACTCCACGAAAAAAACTGCTAGAAGTGATCAACGAATTCAGCAAAGTCACAGGATACAAAATCCACATACAGAAATCTGTTGCATTTCTATACACCAATAATGAAGCAGCAGAAAGTGAAATTAAGTAATCCCATTTACAACTGAACCAAAAATAATAAGATACCTAGGAATAGACCTAACCAAAGAGGGGGGAGATCTGTACTCTGAAAACCATAAAACACTGATGAAAGAAATTGAAAATAACACAAAGAAATAGAAAGATATTCCATGCTCATGGGTTGGAAGATTTCTACAATAGCCTCCTAACTTATCTGCTGCTGCTACGCTTGACCCCATGGACCATCCACTTGATATCCTGGTATTTGCTATGTTGAAACTAATTTCTGGATTCCAGTCAGTTGGAATGAAATCCATTCCTTTATACTGGCCTGCAAAGTCCTGTATGAATCTGAAATCACCTATTCCTCCAACCTCATCTTCTTTTCTCCTGCCTGCTCTAGTATTGCCCAGGTTTCTGCAGACTTATAATATGACTCAGTTGGGACTCTTGTGAAAGGTACTAATTCTCAGTGACCTCCCCTTGCAGACTCTGATTCATAGGTTTAGGAATCTGTACAAGAAACTACTTTTAACAGGTGCTCCATGTGACTCTTATGATAAGATACAGATACAGCCTAAGAATCTTCCACATAGCATTCCAAGGAAGTCCTACCAATTATTCAGAATTGGGAAGCAAAATGAAACTCATTTTCCATTTCTGGTCTAGGAGAGTATGCAGTCAGTGGCCATCTACTATGCTAAGCGAGGGAATTCTGGGAATACAGTTTATGTGCTGGAATAACCTCACATTCCTGTAATTTCCTGGGTGGCACAGGTGCCATTTGTGCAGATTCCTGTGGATGAGGATGAAGAAATCGTTATCATCAACAAGGAGGCAAGGAGGAGAAAGTTGAGAAAGGCTTGATACTCAACAGTGTACAGAAAAGAGAATGTGTGTGTTTCCCTAGGCTATGATAGGACAAAATGTTCCTAAGAGGTAGAGAAGAGAAACAGGGCAACCAGCCAGATACCAGTCCAGAGTATGTGCAGGAAACATTTTGGTAGATGAGGTCAGGACTCTGTGAGCTCATATGCATACGACCTCTTCAACGTAACCAACATCTAAATCACAATAAATGTTTAGCTTTGCATCTAGGTATTTAGAAGCATTAAGATTGACAGTGAAACATTTTTGGCTTTCTTCCAACAGAGTAGTATATAACTATGGCTTTAATGGCAAGTTTAATTTCTTAAATTTTAGGGGAGCAGATTTTGAAAAATATCTGTCATTTCCTATATGTAAAATTTTAACTTCAGTCCTCTAGCAACTGGCACTAGGATCCTCCATATCAAAGGGCATGTTTCTCTTCCAGAATTGAAACTGAAAACAAGGGCAAGCCTCCTGGTGTCCCATATGAAATTGGATCATAAGCCAGAGTAGTGCTTTTCCAACATGTACACATGCTGAAATTCCCTGGGGGGAGCTTCAGAAATCCTGACTACTGTGCCCCATCCCAAAGATGGGATTTAATTGCTGTGGGGTGTGGCCAAGGTTTGGGATTTTGAAAGATCCGCAGGCTATTCTAAGGGGCAGGCAAGTTTAGGAACCACGGAGCTATTGATTTTGAGCATCTGTTTGAAACCTCAAACCTCTGGATGGTGTAGAATTTGGGTTTATGCATTAAAGTTTAAGTTGAGACAATGAGATCAGTTTGATTGGATTTATCAAGTTGTGACCAACCTGGGTAAGGACCTTATTTACATAAAATCAGAGCAATTGATGAGAAAGTTAGTCGAGGTAGCTATGTACACAAAGTCACATACACACAAATTATTAATGTTCAAAACAACAGGATTTTAAAGCAATTTTGTCAAATGGAGTATAGATCTCCAATTAGAGTTGCCCGATAAAACACAGGGCTCCCAGTTAAATCTTAATTTCAGATCAACAAATAATTCATTAATATAAGTATCTCCCATGCAGTACTTGGGACATCTTTATACCAAATGCTGTTTGTTGATTTAAACTTCAAGTTTAGCTGCATGCCTTGTGCTTTTATTTGCTAAATGTGACAACCCTGCCCCAATTTTAAAGGACTGACCTGAGCACCAATTCAGTCTAGTAGGACACCTCAGGACCAAAATTAACCTTAGCCTCTTGCTCATTATGTATTCTATTTTCTGAATTGCGCTGCCTGGGTAACTACCTCAAGCTCTACCCGACTTTGTCTGCGCTGAGGGTCAACTGTACCTTAGTCTGTCTCTTCTGTCTTCTCCGGAGCCGCAGGAGCTCCTTGTGTTGTCTGGAGACAAAGTTCACAGCCGCGTACTCCAGTAAGGCAGCAAACACAAACAGAAGGCACACCGCCATCCAGATGTCAATCGCTTTCACGTAGGAAACCTGAAAGAGAGAGAGAATGGAGGGGGGCACTGTGAAAACTCGTGGAGAAATCGGGCTCCTCATGTTGTGAGAAGCAGAACACCTCATTTTCCTTCATCAAGGATTTTCTCTCCTTTCCTTAAGAGAGAGCTTAAGCATTTTCCTTTCTACTTTGCAGACTCGGGCTGAGCAGTGAAAATGACATGCCCTTTGCCCCAGGCCTTTTGTTCCGTCTCTCTCAGTGTAAGTCCATCTGCTCAAGTAGCCTCATCCCTGAGACCAGCTCCAAAGAGGACTACAAGAATTTCCTTAATGGAAAAAAAAAAGAAAAAACAAAATTTTGAAGCTGCTTATTTCCTTCCATTTTTTCTTAATATTTAAAAACTAGTATAATTAAGATCATTCCAAAACCTGGATGAGAAAGAAGCTATGTGTTGGCTTTGGACCCTTCAAAAACCCATTTGTAATTTCCATCAATCTATTGATCCTGACAATGAAAACACATTTCTAATGGTTTTAAACTATCACAATTCAAAAATATTCAACCCAGGTAAAACATCAGGGCTCTGGTCTTGGGAAGGGATCTGGTTAACAAGGAAATTTTATAACATTTCAATGGTTGGCTGAGTGTTCAGTATCCCTTAAAATTTGAGAAATCAGATTCTGAAAGCAAATAGTTTTTACTTGCAATGGAAAGTGCCCCTCACCTCACCTCATTCCCACTTATTTTTTAAAAATAACTAGGTGGTGGTGTAACCTACTGGACCCCAGACTACAAAGGATACTTATCAAACTGCTAGCTGAATGTGTACCATCTAACTCTAAATTTTATTAAAAAGATTTATCTATTTATTTGAGAGAGAGAGAGCGAGGGAGAGCACAAGAGCAATGGAGGGGCAGAGGGACAGGGAGAAAAGCAGACTTCCTGCTGAGAGGGAGCCCGCAGTGCTCAATCTCAGGACCCTGAAATCATGACCTGAGCCGAAATCAAGAGTCAGACACTCAACCGACTGAGCCACCCAGGCACCCCACTGTAACTTTTTTCTAAAGACTTATTTATGTGAGAGAGAGCAAGCGTGAGAGCATGCGTTGGGGGGCGGGGGGGCAGAGGGAGAGGGAGAGAGAGAATCTCTAGTACACTCTCCCCTGAGCATGGAGTCCAACGTGGGGCTCAATCCCATGACCCTGAGATCATGACCTGAGCCAAAATCAAGAGTCCGGTGCTTAGCCAACTGAGCCACCCAGGTGCCCCTAACTCTAACTTTTAAATAGGGTTTCCAATTATTTTGATATCAGACCCTGAGTGTTTACCAGCCAGTACTATAAGCATTTTACCTGCCTTTTCTAACCATCACAACAACTGTATTACCCCCATTTTCTGATGAGGAAACTGGAGAAGGGTTAAATTATTACTCAAGGTCACAGAGCTAGTTAAATGACAGAGCTAAGATTGGAATTGGATACCAGTCTGACTGGTGGATTTCCACACGCACAAACACACTACTAGGATTATACCGTTTGTATCTTACATTTCTCTTTGATCTTTAGAGTGAGCATTTCTTACATCATTTAACTTCCTTCTAAATCATGCTTGCATAATGGTCCAGACCATGATGAATCATTTTGTATTACAGGGCATCTAGGTGATTTGAAGTTCTATTGTTCGCCACTATAAACTTTGGGGCTATGAACATTCTTCCACTAAAATATTTGGCTGTATCTCTGATTATTTGTCAGATCAGTTTTTAGAGTGGGATTATGGGAATAAATGATAGGAAAACCAGCTTCTGACTGAGAAAGTTAATAGCAACACAGCAGATGAAAAAGCAGAGGCTCTAGAGTAAGATGCCCCAAGCAGAAAAGAGCGCCCTGTTCTAACTATCATTTTGCCAAATTGTTAAACCTCTTTCTGCCTCCCATCCTTGTCTGTATAATAGGGACAATAATACCTATCTCAGAGTTACGTGGTGAAGATCACTTAATATATGCAAAGTGCTTAGAATAGTGTCTGGCACAGAATAAGTGCTATATAAATGTTTGCAATTATTCGTCTACATAAGGGTGTGATTTTGTTAATGGAGAAATTTTGGAAGAGAGAGAAAGATCAAGGAAAATAAAAAAAAAATCACCCATGATCCTAATATATTCCAATTCTTATTTTTAAGGTTACCACCTGCTTTACACTGTTTGTCTCGGTCAACCTGATCTACTGGTCAGTCCCACATATGTTGTGACAAAGTGGTTCAGCACTTTGTCATCTCCAGCACTTTGAATAGATCACCCTTCCTACCTGGGATGCTTATTCTCATTCTTTCTGATTCACAGACTCCTCAGAATCCTTCAAGACTTGACTCAGATGTCGACTCACCTGGGAAGCTTCCCCAACCTTCCCGCTTTCTGCCTTCTGGGTTAGGAGCCACTTTTCTTTGCTCTCTCATCATTCTCTATTGAACTTGTCCATTCTTACTCCATGAACTTCCCTGATCCCACCACTAGACCATAAGCAGTTTTTTTTTTTTTTTTTGAAAAGGCTCTGGGTATTATTAATCTCTGTATCACCAGCACAGGACCTAGGAAATAGTGAGTAAGCATTAGATATGTGGGATGGATGGATGGATAAATCAGTGATTGAATGACAGAAGGAATGATGGAAATATCAGGCCATCTTTCCATCTTTGTATTAAATTTCAACAATTCTACACTATGTAACATTACCCACAGTTGCATGTATTTGATATTTCTAGGAGTGGACTGTTAGTGGATTTTAATTCTCTCGGCACGCTTAGCATGCCTGGAATGTTTCTTCCCTTAATAAGCAATCATTTGTCTTGTGTTTGCTCTTCTGGAGCAATCCTGTTCCACTGTAATTTGTCTTATAGTTGCTCTTCTGGAGCAATCCTGTTCTCCTGTAATAATAGAACATTACCAATCACAACATTCCCAGTTATATATTATTCAGAAGGCCCGTAAATGTTTTAAGACCCAATAATGAGAGGAATTTGTCAGTGCCTGAGATATGTCCATACCACAAGCTAAGTCCAATAGAGCTGACCATCATTCCTCCCCTTCCTGGTGTTTATAGCATTTAGTAATTTGTAAACCTTTCCCCCATCTTGTTCTGCTCATCAGCAGGCCAAGCACGTATTTGGCTTCTTTTATAGCTGCTCATAAATGAGTCCTTTCAGTCTCTTAATCATTTTGGTTGGTCTCTGAGTTTCCTCCAAATCATGAACATCTTTCCAGCACTGAAGTTCTGGCATTAAATGCATTATTCACACGGATTTAGAGGGTGTTGTGAGACATCTATTACATGTGATGTGATGTCCCTTGGTGCTAATCTCTGAGGATTGAAATGCCTTTTTGTTGCTTTTACCTAGCTCTGATGTCAGATTCTCTCTCTTTGGCTGCTAATCCCTAGATGTTGTTAGTTCACATCTTCCCCTGTCACATTCTTTTTATGATTCTTGGGCTTACATGATTGCTTCCTGAACTACTTTACTACAGTTTTGCAAAAAATAGATTTCAAAGGTAATTAAGCTCTCAAAATGCTATTATGACTCATTGAGTTGGTATCTTTCCAGACATATTTAATTCAGGAAAATAAACATTGAGGGCCTACTGTGTGGAAGGCACTATACTAGGTGCTGGTGGGAGGTGGGGCAAAAGATACAAGGATAACTAAGATGCACATTGATACTTCCCAGATTATACTTCAGAGGACCCCATTCACACTGTGCTCCAGAAAGTGTCATTCCCATACGTCACAGAGAAGCAAATTAGGGCTTATGGATCAAATCTGGCCCACCACATGTTTTAGAAATAAAGTTTTATTGGGACACAGCCATACTCATTCATTTACATATTATCTATGGCTGCTTTTACACTAAAATGGCACAGATGAGTAGTTGTGACAGAGCCCATATGGCCTGCAAAAACCTCAAATACTTACTATGAGGTCCTTTACAGAAAACATCTGCTATCCCCTGACCTAGACTGTAGCGTTGTCTGGTTTGTCCTGGGGTTATACATCACAGTAGCACTGCTTGGTGCTTGAGAAATTCCTGGTCTACTGAGGGACACAGTCAAATGAACATATAACTGATACACAGTAGATGGTCCCCTGTGTCAAGGTAGAAGAAAGACCAAAAGGCTGTTGGAATATGGGGAGGTTGATGTTGACAGGGAAGATCAGAAAAGGCTTCATTCTTCAGTGATGTGACATTTGACTTAGGGTTTGTGGAAAGCTGGGACTTTGGTGGGTGGAAACAGCTATAGAAGCAAAGCCATGAAGATGGGAGAGTAGGTGGGCTTAGGGATCGCGAACAGCCTCATACCAGGATATGCTAGGTACCTGGGAAGTGCATGGTGGGGTATGAACAGATAGGCTGGGCCAGCACATCGAAGGCCAGGCCAAGGGGTTTGGGTGTCGGACTGCTCTTAAAAATAAGCTAATGTGGTTTTGAGGTGGGTATAGATGTGTAAGTCCTTTTCTAATTATCCTGGTGTTTTTTTGTCTTCAAAAGCCAGGGTCTTAGAAAAAGCAGACATTTTCCCTCCTTACCAAAATTTGCCTTCCTTCCTCTTGCCACTTTCAACTCTACACAAGGCCTGTTTTCTTCCAAGCATTCTAACATCTCTGAATCCTTTGCTGGATCTTCTTCTATTTGTAATTTGTGTTCCTTGAGCTCTACCTCTTTGATTTTTCCTTCTGTCTTCATGTCCTCAATGAATTCATCCACTCCTATAGTTTTCTTCTTGTTCGTGTGTGTGTGTGTGTGTGTGTGTCCATGTCTGTGTCCGTCCTATAGCAGAGATTGGCCAAGTTCTCATGAATCCCACTTCCTTTTCCTGGAACACCAGTAAGATAGATTTGCCACTTTAGTTGGATCCCCCACGCAATGTGGGCAGAAGTGCTATATGCCACTTCAGGACCTCTAAAATCTCCCATGAAATCCTTATGATTCAACCCTTCTACAACCACCTTGGATGTCACTCATTTCAGATGGCAGTGCCCAGAGACG